CATTTACACAGTTGGGCCTAGACAATGTCCAACTGTGCACCCTATTAGGAGTAAAAGCTACCAATTGCGGTGCGACTATGCCTTAAGCCACACCCGAGCACCTATTCCATACCATATTTAATTACTCATTATGTTCATATATTTCATATAAGTTATTAAGAGAGAGACGAGAAAAGAAAGGAAAAGAAAAAAAAGAAAAAAGAGGAGAAAAGAAAGGGAAAAAAAGGGGGGGAGGGGAAGGGGGGGATAGACGTGTTATTATGGGGGTGGGGCAGCAGAGGAGGACTCTACCCTCTAGCATATCCCCTTACTCCTCTCTATTAATAAACTCCCTTTGTGTATGCCATTATCCTAATTAAGAGCTTAAAGCATATCTTCACCAAATATTAAGTGTTCCATATTTCTTATCCTACTTTCTCCCTTCCCTCCCTCCCTTCCTAACCTCCCCTTCCTTCCAGTGTCCCCCCTCTCTTCCTTTTTAATTTACCCCGTGTTACTTATCTTGTAGTGTTCCTTAATAATTTTCTTATTGATTTCCAGCTCCCCTACACCCACCTCCTGTTTTCCCCTAGTGTTTTATGTAACGATTTGTGGCATTTTGTTCCTCTCACTCCAATCAAAAACAGTGCTCATCAATCTATTTAAAAAAAAATAAAAACATTTTTTATTCCTTAAAGATAACCTCTGACCTAAGCCTTGGACAAAACCATAAATATAATAGGGTGGTCTATTGTGTGACAGCACCTTTCAGACTTATAGTCTCCTCATAGATATATAGCTTTAAGAAAGTCTAAACCATGGCAATTAACATTTTTCCTCCAAATTCTTTGAAAGTGAAGTCATCTTTGTGTCAAGACACAGTGGTTCAAAAACAAAATGATAAAATACATTGGTATATCCACCTATTTCTATGTACTTAAAATATAAACCCACCATATTAATATGACATGCTAATATATTTCAATGGGTACACTCAAACAATATATAATGAATATAGCTTGGATATTATAAAAGTACTGTCAAGGTCTTACCTTGTCCTCATGGTGGCAGCCATTTTGGACATGTGCAGACTGCAGTCTCCTATAACCTCTGATTGCATCATCGCTTGCCTGCTGCCTGGGCGTCGCACAGTGATGATGTGGCAACACCTGACTATATCAGTCTGCTCAGGCTTCAGGTTCATTGCCCTTGCGTTTGTGCTCCAAGGTGCATCTCTGGCAGTCTGAGTTCCTTTGTGTGTGTCTGTGTATGATCCGGCCTGGCTGATCCTCTGTCTCTCGACCCCGCATTGGCAGATGTACCCGCATTGGACTTGATTCCGGCTTGGACGACTACCCGCATTGGACTTGATCCGGCTTGGACGACTACCGCTTTGGACTTGATCCCGGCTTGGACGAATACCCGCTTTAGACATGATCCCTGCTCGGAAAATGTACCCGCATTGGAGTTGACCGGCTTGTTCCTGACCTTGCTGCCACTGTTCCCTGATGAATGTTTATTTATGTTCCTTTAAATAAACGACTTTATTTTACCTGCATTTTCATGTGGTCTGGTTTCCTGGCTCCCATGACATTATGCAAGGGCCATGAATCCTGTCTATGCAGCTACTCCCATGCTCCCTATGCTGGTCTCCAGGCTCGATCAACAAGATCACGTTTTGGGTCAGTTCGCTCAGGCGTTGCAGAAGTTGCTTGCACACACCGCACACCTTCCTCCTGCTGCTGCTCCTATTGCCACTCCTGCTCCTGCAGTTGCAGCTGAAGTCCTTGTTACCAGAGGGATGACTGGTTCAGCCCCCCTGCCGCAGCAATATGGGGGTGAACCGAGTCAGTGTCATGGCTTCCTAAACCAAGTGGGCATATATTTTGAGATGGTCTCCTTCTGATCGGTCCAAAAGTGGGCTTCCTGATTTTGTTGCTCTCGGACAAGGCATTGGCATGTGCGATTCCCTTATGGGAGAACGATTAACCCGTGATACACGATTACCCGAGTTTTGTTGCCTCCTTTCGTAGGGTATTCGATGTACCTGCTCGCTCTGCCTCTGCTGCAAAGCAGCTCCTGTCCATTCAACAGGGTATATGAACCGTAGCTGAATATACCATTGAATTTCGTACCATGGCTGCAGAGGTGGGCTGGAATAATGAGGCCCTGGTGGCTGCCTTCTCGCATGGTCTCTCTGATGCTTTGAAGGACGAGGTTGCGGCTAAGGATCTCCCTGACGAGCTTGAGGCTCTCGCTTCCTTCCTGATTTTGATCGATACCAGGCTCAGGGAGAGACCTTTGTTTAAGGAGCGCCTGCAGAGGCGTTCAACCAGATTGGCTCCTACATTTTCTTTCCCACCCATTCCTCCCTCACTTCCCTCACCTCCCACGCCTCCTAGATATGGTGCGTCTGGCAGTGAACCTATGTAGCTGGGATTCACTCGCCTTTCTGAGGTTGAGCGGGCCTTTAGGAGGCGAAGGCCGGTGTCTGTATTGCGGTCTCAGTGGGCATTTCCTGAAGTCATGCCCGACCTGTCCGGGAAACGCTCGCACCTAAGGTCCTGTCGGGGGCAGATCTTGGGTGGAATTCCCTCATCCCCGACTTCCCGTAAAGATAAACCGCTAATCACAGTTGTCCTCTCCTGAACAGGGGGCACAGCGCTTACACAGGCATTGGTGGACTCCGGTGCTGGCGGTTATTTCATTGACAGTACATTTGTTGCTGCGAATTCCATACCCCTGCAGCCTCGTGTTACTCCACTGGCCATCGAGGCAATTGATGGTAGACCCCTGCGACCGGCGCAGGTTACCCACGAGACTGTTCCGGTCGAGATGGCGATTGGGGCTGTTCACAGGGAATCTTCCTGTTTTCAGGTTATTTCATCCCAGCACTACTCCGTGGTTTTGGGGTTCCCTTGGCTTCAGCAGCACAATCCGACCTTTGATTGATAGTCGGCCGAGATCCTCTCTTGGTCTCCACAGTGTGGAGCTGTTTGCATAAATGGGCCTGTTAAGGTACTTTGTATCTCCTCGGATTCTGTGTATTCTGAATATCATGAGTATCGGGATGTATTTGACAAGATGCACGCTGGTGCTCTTCCTCCTCATCGTCCCTAAGATTGTGCTATAGATTTGCAACCCGATGCCATTCCCCCTCGTGACAGGGTTTATCCTCTTTCTGTTTGCGGAGAATAAGGCAATGGAGGAGTACGTTGCGGACGCGCTTTCCCGGGAACACATTCGCAAGTTCACTTCTCCAGCGGATGCTGGCTTTTTCTTCGTAAAGAAAAAAGGGGGCAAGTTGAGACCTTGCATTGACTATAGGGGTCTCAATCGCATCACAGTCAAAAATGCATACCCGATTCCGTTGATTACCGAATTGTTCGACTGCCTCAAGGGAGCAACGGTCTTTACCAAGCTTGACCTAAGGTCATTATGAATATCTGGTCATGCCTTTGGCTTGTGCAATGCGCCCGCTGTCTTCCAGGAGTTCATTAATGATGTATTTTGCGATATGTTGCAGCAATGCGTGGTGGTCTATCTGGATGACATCTTGGTTTATTCGGACTCCATTGAATCACACTACATGGATGTCAGACGGGTGCTGCAACGGTTATGTAGGAATGGGCTTTTCTGTAAGCTTGAGAAATGTGAATTTCACCTGTCTCAGGATACCTTCTTGGGCTATATAATTTCTGCTGTAGGGTTCTCAATGGACCCTCAGAAGGTTTCGGCAGTTCTGCAATGGCCTCGCCCCAGTGGTCTCCGTTCTATTCAGCGTTTCCTTGGGTTTGCCAACTATTATCGGAAATATATCAGGAACTTTTCCGCTTTGGCCAAACCCATCTCAGATCTGACTAAAACGGCCAGCGATTCCCACAATTGGACGCCTGCTGCTATCCAGATGTCCTGGGCTGTTTCCTGTCAGTTCTGGTGGCCATCTCTCCACACTCATATAGCCGCATATGTGGCTGCATGTTCTGTCTGTGCACAGAACAAATCTTTCCACCACCTACCCTTGGGTCTACTGCATCCCATTCCCAATGGGGAGCGTCCCTGGTCTCACCTGGCCATGGACTTTATTGTGGACCTTCCTGCATCGCGAGGTTACACGGTTATTCTCATGGTTGCCGATCGGTTCTCCAAAATGTGCCACTGCGTTCCGTTTAAGAAGCTGCCTACCACTCAGGAGCTGGCCTCAGTGTTTGCCAGGGAGGTCTTCTGTTTACACCGGTTGCCTAGGGAGATTGTCTTGGACCGCGGGAGCCAGTTTGTCTCTAGGTTCTGGCATGCATTTTGCTCTCAGTTGGGTATTCACCTCTCCTTCTCCTCAGCCTACCATCCGCAGTCCAATGGTGCCGCTGAGCGTTCCAACCAAGCCATGGAGCAATTTATCCGCTGCTATATCTCTGACCATCAGGACAATTGGGTTGATCTGCTACCCTGGGCAGAGTTTGCCAGAAACTCTGCCATCAACTCGTCCTCCGGAATGTCTCCATTTATGGCAAATTATGGGTTCCAGCCCTTTGAGTCGTTCTTTCCACAGGACATTCCGGCTGTGGAGGATCATCTTCGTGCCCTCCGTTTCTCTTGGGTGTGGATTCAAGAGTTGTTACGGGTCTCTGCTCAGCGTCAGAAGCCCCAGGCTGACCGGAGACGTTTGCCTGCTCCCTTGTACCGAGTTGGGGAGAGGGTGTGGTTGTCGACTCGTAATCTCAACCTCAAGGTGCCTGCTCCGAAACTGGCCCCCTGTTTTGTTGGACCTTTTCGCATCCTCCGTAGGGTGAACCCGGTTGCCTATGCCCTTGACCTTCCTCTTGGCATACGTATCTTAAATGTCTTCCACATGTCGCTTTTGAAGCCACTTCCTCGCCCTTGTCCCATTCCTGTGGGCAATCATGAGGAGTATTAGATGATGTGTGATTGCTGGAATGTACAAGCAAACCTTTTTTGGGAATGCTGCTGGAAGTTTCTTGTTGTAATGTAATCCTAACATTAAATGTTTAAAATAGATTTTGTGCACCAACCGGGACTCGAACCCAGGTCGCAAGAATGGCAATCTTGCATGATACCGCTACACTATCGGTGCTCTCCCTTTGTGTTTTCAGCAAGCTCAAAGGCATGATGGGTCAGTAACGTTAACCATCAGGCAAGCTTTGTCGACTCTATCATATTCTACTAAACCTAACTAAGTTCATTGAATAAATTTGTTTAAAAAAATGAGAAAAATGGTCTTTGCAATATTTTGATTTGCCACCACATGCACGGGTTATTGCATTCCAGCGAGCGCATTTCTCAAATGAATTTTAAGGTGTCAGAAATTAACAGACTTTTTGGAGAGAAATGTCCAATTTAGATATCTAGCAGTTTATCTACTCCACACTTTTATGAGGGTCAATTGCTATGATGCTCTCATACTGACTTTAGCCATTTGTATGATCCTTTTGCTGAGATTTTAAGGCTACATCCTGTCATTTATTCCTGAATGTTAAAGGCTTCATCTCTGAGCTAGAAGGAATGCAATCCTGTAGGAAAAGGTCTGCAACTGCTACAAGAGTTTTAAATGCTTAGCTTGTTTTGGACCTCCTTTCTGACAATCTAAATGGACTGAAAACATAACAACTGATTTGAAAAAAAGATGACCTTGGCCAGTCAGGATTTAATCCTGAATAAAAGAAATGGCACTCTTGTCTGTCATCCCTATTGCTGTAGTTCCCTCTCTTTTAATTTTGTATTCACTCAGAATCTGAAATTCTATACCTGAACTTTGCGGTGACTCAAGTCATAACCTTGAGAATTCAAATATAAATTCTGGCAATCGCATTTCTAGGTTGTATTGTAAGGTGTAAAGAATAAACTCGCTTTTTGGATGAATCGACAGAACTTGAAATTTCAATACATACTGTTGCACTTATTCTCCTTGTGACAGTTGCTTGTATATGTAAATGATCCATGAAGCTATTTTTTGGAGGCAAGGGAATTCTGAGATGACCTATGATTGCTGGAATGTACAAGCAATGCTTTT